GCCCTTATGCCCCCAAAACCTTGAAAACAAATGTAATAAAAAAAAATTTAATTATCCTTAGAAAACAAGCCCTTAGTGGCTTGGGTCATACTGATACCATCCCTAAAACAAAACTAATTTTTTCTTTCCCCCTGCCTACAAATGACCTCAAAATGTACTCTGCTATGACATGAACAATGAAAAGGACAGAGCAAATAAAACCTGCTACTTCCACATAATTTTAACTGGTCTTACTTTGACAACAGGTTGTGCGGTTGGGATCATGGACGTGGCAGGGGGCACAGCTTGGACATTGGAGGTGATGGTCGAGACTGGAGTCGGAGCTATTACAGGAGTCTGAACCAGCTGAGGAGGGGAGCTCGGACATGACGAGGATGGAGAACCAGTAGTCAGTGCTATCGATTGTTGGTTTTCTGTTTGGATGTGATAATCACAAGGTCAGCTGGAAACTCTCCTTCAAGCAGCATGTCACTGGTAACTTCAAATGTTTATTATTTGTGACATCCAGTCAGTTACCTGAAGTAGGAGGTGGTCCAGGTTTCCGTGCTTTACCCTTCGGTGGTGGGGGTAAAAGTTCCACCTCCTCCTGGGGCATCTGAGCTACCTTTTGGAGGAAAATCTTTTCCAAGGCTTGAGCCATGAGGACAATGTCATCTGTGGGCTAAGACAATATATCAAGGGAAATTAATTTGAATGGCACATTATAAAACAGAGTGGTAATGAAAGAAAGCATATAATTAAAAAAATTTATTAAGTATTAAGGACTTAAATCTACCTTGTTATAGATGTAACAGTTTGTGAACATAGTGTTAAAGTCCTGCATGCATTCGCCAGCAGTCCAATAGTAATTATTCTCAAGTCGCTTCTTTATGGTTCCCATGTCCATTGGATTCTTGATAATTTTATGGTAGTCCTATATAACACAGACCAATAAATTACACCAGCTCTAGTGCATTAGGTGAAAGAAAACAAACATTTAGAGGTGATTTATAATTTTTGGGATGTTCAGATAATAAATCTATAATGAAGTCATTTATATTTTATTTCCCAAAAATAACACTCTAGACATTTCAGGTGTCTACAGATATGAACAAGTTAAAATTAAGACTTTTAAAGACCTTTTTAATACCACCTAATGTGAAATTTAAGACCAAACCTATGATGGAAATACACATTATATTACATACGTATATGTAATATTTAATGTGTTAAGTGTTAAATGCAAAAAGAAAACAAAATATTATCACTGTCAAAAATGCTATTTATTATTATGATATATTATACAGTGAACTTTTCATATCAGCAGACAATATACCATATAAAATATCCCCACAAAAGCACAGCATCACCGAGATTTTTGGTGATGTAAACCATTTATTCAGAAGCAATATTTTCATTAGTGTCCTATCAGCTTTTACATTCTTAAATCTGCATGTTTTTAATATTCACACCAGGATGTTATTTACCTTTATAAAGGCCTATATTTTTTAACCCTATTAAATGTATTCTTCATCTTTCATGTCAAATTCTTACAAAGCAATGTTCAGGCAATTCAATATACACTATAGGGCTGTTACCAATCAAATTAAATAATTTATACTGCAAAATTACAACTGCAGTAAATAATGTTATGAGATTAATGTTTGAAATAAAATTTTGAATATACAAATAAGACATGTTGGGGGAAAATGCATACATTTGAACATGAGACTAAACCACCAGTAGGCTCATTCATTCAACCGATTTCTTCAAAAGCCGAATCGCTCAGTAACAAAAACGCAGAGTGTTGCTTGGAGAATGTGGAATACTTCTGTTCTGATCTTTGTTCGGAACTATTTTCGTTGGTGAAATAGAACAAAACAGTCAATGTTGTGTCTAAAATATAAGTAATATACTTGACTACATTATGTTATAAATAAACTAAACATTAAAATGTTTTACCTCAGTATGTTTGTTTTGTGAGTTTCTTTATGTATGCCATTATACTAATTTGATTTGATTTCTTCATGTGTTTCTCAGACACAGGCAGCACGAGCCTCACCAGCGCAACATTGATATCAGAAATACACTATCCAACATCAATTGCTGTTTTAACTGAATGTAATAAAATCAGAAGAATCATTCTCATGTTTTGATGTGTCACTAGTTATTTTTTGGTCACTTGAGTTTTAATCAAGCTATTTGTCTCGTCGGGCAAGCAAAATTCTCTATCCATTTTTCAGTAAACTTGCATTAACCCATTTAAAGCAGCTAGGATACTGCTCAGCTAGCTGGTGTTCAACTGGATTCTGCTGTCGCAATTCTCTCTGATGACGCAGTAACTAAAGCGAAGGAAAACTTTTTCAGTCTGTCCAATGATTGTAAACAGTCACTGGGTCCATCAGACTGGAGAAATGTTTGCGGTAATGTGACCAAAAATATTTAAGACCCACTGAATATGAATTTAAGAAATTTAATACTCAAGGTATTTTTTAAAGAAAACTTTATCTAAACATTTTTAAGGACCCACGGCCACCCTGCATTTATTTTGTTAATCCCAATATAAAAAAAAAACAAAAAAAAGTCCCGATTCAAAAACACTGACTCAATAAGCTGCATGAGTTTGGGGCGGGACTATCTGCTTGCCCTACCAATATCAGATGGGGGACACCTTTAAAAACAGTAATTGTTTTTGCAATTCAATTTGGTAACACTAGAGGCGCACCTTCAAGTCAAATTTTATCATTATTACATGTCTGTAATTTATTCCTGTGATGACAAAACTGATCATTATCAATGTTGAAAACAGATGCTGCTTAATATTTTTGTGGAAACTGTGATACATTTTTTCAGGATTCATTGATGAATAGAAAGTTCAAAACAACAGCACATATTTGAAATATAAATATTTTGTATTATTATAAATGCAATCAATTTAATGTGTCCTTGCTGAATAAAAGTACAGATTTTTTTTTTATCTGAACCCAAACTTTTGAATGTTAGTATATCATGGTTTCCATGATATTTTTCATGAATTTTTTCATCATTAGAAATAGTAATACATGTTTCATTAGCAGCAAATCAGCATATTAGAATGATTTCTGAAGGATCATGTGACACTGAAGACTGGAGTAATGATGCTAAAAATTCAGCTGTCCCATCACAGGAATAAATGACATTTTAAAATAGAAAATAGTAAACATTTATTTTAAATTGCAATAATATTTCAATAATAATATTACTGTTTTACTGTATCTTATCAAATACATGCAGACTTTGTCTGCATAAAAAAAAAAAAAATATATATATATATATATATATCTACATGAAATGAAAGCCAAAAACATTTTACTCACTGGCAGACTCAATTTGATGGCATCCACAGGTGTGTAAAAGGGCCACGCAAACTGATGCTTCCATAGAGTCTTCACAACCACGTTCTGCATGTATTGTAGCTGGTTAGTTTTTCGGCCAGGCTTAACAGGGTTCGTGACCTCAGGAGGGGGAGGGTTCACAATAGGTGGAGGCACCTGGGCAGGGGATGTGACTACCGACATACTGCTCAGTTAAGGGGAAGAAGTTGCCTGAATGACGTCTGTACGTCTCTTAGCTCAGTTACAATGATCCTCTTGCTGCTCCTTAGTCCCACCTCGACACACACATCCCATCTCAGGACCTGAGTGTCAGCACGCTGCCAGTAAACGTAGAGACATATCTTATTAAATATACATGAAAATAAAGTCTCTCTCGCTCTCACACACACACACACATACATATATATATATATATCTCAATGGAAATGTAACTGCAGAAAGATATCTATCTGTATATCTATCTATATGTATGTATATATACACAATAGAATATCAATGAAAATATTACTGCAGATATGATACCAATTATCACGATTTCTTTACACATTACACTGCTAAAATGCTATAATATATTGCATTATATTGCTAAAGTGTACATTTTAATCTACTTTAAAACTTTATCAAGAACATCATCATGCTGGACGTTGACGTGCATGTGAAAAACAGTATTTGTATTCATTAATATTAATATTTATAACCATTCATGTACAGCAAATGAATTTAAAAATCATTTTATCTGTGGTACATTTTACAGCTAAATGCGATATGATGCATCTTCACAAGTAAATTAGTTAAAAGTCTGAACTGCAATATCGGGGGTTTCACGTGAAAAAATGACTAATGACTGAAAGATTCTATGAACTGGAGCGTTTCATTCCAAATACGTTCAATAGTAGCACCAACAAAACGAACATAATTTCGCTCGCTTATGAGAGGCCATGAAAAATTGCAGGTTTAGTCGGAATTAAACCAAAACATCAGCTAGCAAACTGCGCCCCTGCGCGCACTCAAACGGAGCTCTCTAACTGTACATTTCACCGGAAACACATTTGCAATCGAGCGTGAAAGTAACTGCATCAGGCGTGTGTATACAAGTTCTTGAAAAGATGGCGGGCACGGGAGAGACAGGGCATCGAGTGAGGAATGTCGAGGATCGAGCCCCACCATGTCTTTAACAACCATTGTGTGTGCATGCCGTTCAGCCAGCTAGCTACTCAGCGGGCTAATTTGAAATCAGCCCACAATGCATCCTCCAGCCCGGTTTTTACACTAGATACAATGAGAAAAACAGCGCAAACAATTACAGCGAGCTCTACGTTTACGGATAGAATGGGCTGCGCGTGAAAGAAGGTTTTGTTACATTGTTGCAAAGCGCCGCTCATCAGCTCCAGTCTGTCAGAGGAGATCCTGCTAGCCACATTCAGCTGTGTTTCCCCCCCCCCAAAAGACCAATATACATCACCTAAACTGAATATAAACTTCGATCGGAATGCGCTAAACGTAAACATGTATGTTATATTTTATTACTTTCACTCCAAGCAGCTCCGGTAGCGTTTTCCTTGCAGATTTTCGGGTAGCTTTTATTGCGAAGAAGCATAATAGATGGCTGGGGTCGACACTGGTTGGGTAGTGTTGTGCGCATGCGCGCTGCGTCGCACGGTATTGTGGTTGTTGTTGTTATGAAGAACTGTCGCTCTCTGCGCCGCTCAGCCTTTAACGTTCTCATTCCAAACCTCCGATATACACATGTCGTTTATTACAAATATAGAATTGACACTGCAATATAAAGTAAGCAGATCATGTGTATAACCTTGAATAGGTTCGTGGTGGGTTGATGAACAACTGAAAATACTGCATATAAGAGTTACTTACAAAATAAATAAATGCATAGAAATATTTTTGCTTTTATTAGTTTACTTCTATCTATCAGTCAGTCAGTCAGTCAGTCTGTCTGTCTATCTATCTATCTATATATCAGTCAGTCTGTCTGTCTATCTATCTATAAATCAGTCAGTCTGTCTGTCTATCTATCTATAAATCAGTCAGTCTGTCTGTCTATCTATATATCAGTCAGTCAGTCAGTCTATCTATCTATAAATCAGTCAGTCAGTCAGTCAGTCAGTCTGTCTGTCTGTCTGTCTATATATCAGTCAGTCTGTCTGTCTACCTATATATCAGTCAGTCAGTCAGTCAGTCAGTCTGTCTGTCTGTCTGTCTGTCTATCTATCTATCTATCTATCTATCTATCTATCTATCTATCTATCTATCTATCTATCTATCTATCTATCTATCTTATCTGTCAGTCAGTCAGTCTGTCTGTCTATATATCAATCAGTCAGTCAGTCTGTCTGTCTATCTATATATCAGTCAGTCAGTCAGTCTGTCTGTCTATCTATCTATATATCAGTCAGTCAGTCTGTCTATCTATCTATATATCAGTCAGTCAGTCTGTCTGTCTATCTATCTATAAATCAGTCATTCAGTCAGTCAGTCTGTCTGTCTGTCTGTCTATCTATCTATTATAAACCCCAAAATTACTATGTAATTTTATTAGTAAGTACTGAACAATAATGAACAATTGTGTGAAAAAGCGACAATGTAGATAGATATATAGATAGATAGATTTTAGGATTAATGTGATGTCTAAAATATTACTATTGAATATAATATTAATAAACCAGTTTTTGCAGGCAGTCGATAATGTGCTGCACTTGTTTTATCTTGCAACACTGGTGAAAATAATTTCATAGGCTATATCAAAATAATATCATATTTCTAAATATCCAGTAAATATGATACAATAAAGTAAATACGATGTTTGTATGTTGCATCTCATGACCGATGAGGTTTCCTCCTCCCAGTAGCCCCTCACTTCGCGATCAGCACTAAACAGACAAAACAGCGAGACTGACCCCAGATCAGATTTGTACGGAGTGATGAACAATTTTTCTGTTCTATTAGTGGAAAAGATTCGAACAGAATTACTTGCAAAATATTGAAATAAAAAATGATGCCTTTGTTCACAGTTCATTTAGAGAAACCAAAGCTATGCTAAATTTATTTTCGTCGAATAAAGTAAAGAAACAGTCAGTCACCATAAGAATCTCATTCTCAAGCTGCCCTTACATACCGCACAGGGTCCTAGAACTGCGGTCCTGAAACTGCAGCCTCCGGTTGTGCAGGAACATACTATTGAAGTGCCCCGAAGCGCCCTTTACACCAGTTTGTAAAAAATAGTAGTTTGGAGCGACTCGTTTGCAGGGTTTAAAGTTCTCCGGCGTGCGGAAAAAAAAGTCGTCCTACATTTAAAAACACTTGTTGATATCAAGTTCGAGTTCATGAGTTCGCCTACCAATGTATGAGAGGAACACAGCTTTCACTCTTAACCAGACTAACAGCCAATCAGAAGTTGTTGCGCTTATAAACACGAGACGCGCATTAGCTGATGAATGGAAAGAAGCCTGGGTCTCGACTCGAGCGCGACATATTGAAAAGCTGCGAGGCGCAATGGTCAAATATTTCCATCTAGAGTCATATTTACATAGAAAAGCTATTAAAAAAGCAGCGGAGCTTTGCAAACAGTTCAGAGTAATCAAGCCATCTCCATAAGAACTATATGATTGCCAGAACGAATTTACCGGGATTTTTGAAAAGGTCCTGTTCACACATGATCTATTACCGGTAATTTACCAGTAAAGACTGTATGTGAGAAAGGGGTTAAACCAGGGGTGCCCAAACTCGGTCCTGGAGGGCCGGTGTCCTGCAGAGTTTAGCTCCAGCTTGCCTCAACACACCTGCCTGAAAGTTTCTAGTATGCCTAGTAAGACCTTGATTAGCTGCTTCAGGTGTGTTTGATTAGGGTTGGAGCTAAACTCTGCAGGACACCGGCCCTCCAGGACCGAGTTTGGGCACCCCTGGGTTAAACTCTTCCTCTGCATGTGCGGTGAGTTTGGGCTGCTTTAGGTTCATCTGGGAAAACTCACTTGATTTGTAACGTAAATCATTTAAACCTATGCCAACACAGGAGAATACATCAACATATTTCTAAATATTTAATTTATTGTACATGGCGATTTCAAAATAAACGTTTCTTACTTGGCATGTGGCCAAATATTAAAATTAAATGGATTTGAACGTCGTTGAATCACATGAAACATCACCAGGCCGTTGGCGCCCTCTGCAGGTATTTGTTAAGGCATATTACATTATTTAACAGCGTTGTTCAGTAAAACCATGTACTTGGTTTTGATACTTTATTTGAGGCCAATTATTATTATCTCATCGTTACTTTATATATAAATATAGTCATATTAAATCCTGCTTTTCCACTTAGTTCTATTTGTATTACTAAAAAATATCAGATTACTCGCTTGTCAAAATAATCAGATTACTTGATTAGCAAAATAATCATTAGTTAAGCACTAGATTAGTTAAAACATTTCAAAATACAACTGCATTGTTTTACTTTTTGTGATTAAAAGACAAACATTTTGTAATTTGAAAATGTCTTAAAGTATAAAACATTATCTCGTTCTAGTGAACCAAGTATCTGCATTTTGTCTCTCCTTGTGAGCTAAGTGTATTGTCACACCCCTAGTGTCTATGAGTGTGATAAAGCTCATAAAGAATTTCCTTTTCCAAGTGTATGACATAGCTTTCAATCTTCAGGTCAATCATATATTCGTGAAAAAAAAATCAGTTTGAATAAGGAAAGCGATAACTTTGCCATAGTATCCTTTCAAATGTTAAAGTTGCCACATTCATTGCATTCTTTGCATGTGCTGCACTTTATTTGTACCATTTTGTTTTATTACTTTATTTATTAGAATTTGAAAGATAATAACAATATTGATTAATAAGTGAGATCTGATTTTAGTCCTTGAAAGTCCTTTATTTGGCAGTATCTGTACAGACCCTGTTTAAGTTACCAGTTCTTGGACCATTTTAACGTTTTTGTTGTTGTTATTTGAACTGAACTGTAATTGTCTGTAGTAAACTGGCTTTGTATATTTCCTATTTTATATTAGTTTCCTAGTATTTAATTTACCATTATTTCTTTTGAACAAAGCAATTTCAGAAATGTCATGTTTTAGATTGT